GTGTGTGTGTTTGTTTACATACATACAAGAGTCATGGAACTGTGCTTACAGCTAATTCATATTTCATGTAAACTAATAACTTGGGTACATGATACTTGTTGATAGCATTAAAATAATTTCTAATAGCATTAAAATAGCATTAAATAATAGTCACTCATTCCTGTATAAACCCTGTGAGCGCTTAATTTAATTTGACATATTAAAAAAAAATATATATATATGTAGATTTTTGTAACGGGGATAACTAGGATCATTCAAAACTGCTTGTTTTGAATGAACTTTGTTTGTTCTCTACTTCCAAACTCAGCATCTCTTCATCCATTCCTGTAATAAGAAATATCTTTTGAATGGATTTGATTAAACTTTAAGTCCCTCGGTATAAAATAAATATTTTGATGGAGATGAGAAATCTGCTTCCTGGTTGGTGAATAACCAATACTTTGCATCGTATCATTTAAATAAACGGTGTTAGCTTTTTTGGAATGTATAAAAAGTATGCTATAATTTCTAGTCACCGATCTGTTGCTACTATATTTTAATTTGACGAACCGAGGTTTCTCGATGTTCTTTTTCCTGTTTGGTGCGATTGCAATTGCGGATCTTGACCTGGCCGGACCGGAGCGGAGGAAAAAATAGCTCGGCTCCGTATTTTGTCGATGACGGACGGAGAAGACGTACGTGGACGGAGATGTGCGGAGGATGTGGAACAGCTCTCATTGATTTACATGAAAGACAAGCGCTCCGCACGACATACGTCAGTGGGGCGGAGCAGAGCGGAGTATGTGGAATCTGGGGGGAAGTCAGTCATTTTTGGTAACTTTGAAAGCAGCTTCCTACTTTCATTCTTCTTTCTCCTCTTTTCAGCACCGCTAGGGTAACTTCTTTTCATCTTTCTTTCCTTTCCTTTCCTTTCTTTTCTCTTCTCCCCCGCTCTGCTCGTATCGTCCCCCGCTCTGCTCGTATCGCGCTGTTTGTTTTCAAATAGTTTGCTGCCGTGTGTTTGGACCTGTCTGCCCATGCGCAGAAAATGGACTGAACCAATGTAGTGGACATTGTAGGGGGGGCCCCGAGACACACTTAATATTATAAGCATTCTAATGGCATTTTGGCGAAAGGATTTTTATCAAAAACATAATTAATGTGCACAAATAAATAATAGCTGTATTAACCATACATGTAAAAGGAGTTTTAGGGGGCCCCCCAAGAACTCGGGGCCCTAGGCAACTGGCTAGTTTTGCCTAATGGTAAATCCGCCCCTGTGTGGAAAGTAGTTAATTAAACTGGTAATAGAAAATAAATATCTGCCTTGTTTTTAGTTTTATGTATTCATTTCATCAGTGTGTGAGTGTGTGCGTGAATTACTTAATGTAGTGTAAAGCTCTTTGGTCAAGTCTCCTGACTTCAAAATGCGCTACATAAAGGCCATTTACCATTATTCAGCTAAAGTAGATGAAAAAACTCAAAGTTCAGTTCGAACAGATAAAATGAACTAGCTCACGTTCATAATTCCCCTTTTCAGAAATGATGGTTAACAAACCTGTAAACGAACTAGTTCAAGTTCATTTGGTAAATTAAGCCACAATCCTACACAACAGAACCTCATATTTCATCCTTTAAATGTGTGATCATAATATGTCGACAGAAATGGAAAATTCTTCATGGAGTCAAGGTATACTGTATGTGCAGTGAAGCCTTTATTTAGCCAAACTACACATAACTTTAGAAATATACAGGAACATTCAGGTTCTGCTGAAAAGATCTGTATTCTTACGTTCCTCATTCAATAGCAGATATTTCAGAAGATAGCTTGGATGCTTTAACTCTATGTTAAATTTTAAGTGGAAGTGGCTGATGTACGGAATTGTTTGTTAAGTCCTGATGGGCACAATTAGCAAATAAAACATGAGCTTATTTTTGTCTGAGTGTTCCTTTGTTGTTTCATAGAAAACCGGCATCAGAAATACCAGAAGATGGGTCTGAATCAGGCATAATAGTACTAGCAGTAGACAGGCTGGTCTTTCATGCGGTTTTCCTTAACAAGTGCCGTAAAACCTGACATTATCCAATTATATGTGTCGTAAATGAATGCGAACGTGAGCGATGTGTGTTGCTCATTATTCACAGAGTGAACGTCGCCTTTGTTCATGTTCATTACTTTAAAACTGATCCGTTCAGTTCACTAAAAATATGAACATATTCAGTGAACGCGGTTTTTTGAACGCCTTCATGCTCATCAATGGTCAATGTTATACATGACGTTTGGATTTCATTACCACCATTGAGCCTCCCCTGAAACCAGCAGCCACCCCTGGCATATATCCACCCAAAATAAGCAGGAATATAATGAAACCCAAGAATTCCTGTGAGATTAATTTTTTAGGAGGTGTAAAGCCTTACATTTCACATTTCATAACCACATCTCTAAACTGAAAGCATTCTATAAAAAAATAACTATTTGCCCTTTTCTCAAATGAAACATTTATGCGGCCTTGGGATCAAATCTTGTTTGCATCAAGAATGGATCCATGTCGATTCAGTTGTGTAGGATGGGTCAGTGTTCATATTATTCTGAATCACAGCTCAATAGTTCAAGTTTGGAAGAAAGCTGCTGCCAGAGGGACCAAAATTAAGCTCTTTGGCATCAAATCATCACACATTCCAGTGATCAGGAATGCTAGAGTCAAGCATAGAGGTGGAAATATTATGATTTATGTGTTTTTTTCTCTAAGGTGTAGAGCATGATGTGTGGCCAATGGAAATGTTCCCGTATCACATAAGCTTAGCTGAGAGAATTTGTTCCTCAGCTAGAACACTGAAGATGCTCTGATCTGTAGAGAGGTATCTAAGTTTGGCAAAGAACAGAAAATATGAAGGTCTTGTTAGAGTGATAACTATCCTGTGTTTCAACCAGAAGGGTCATAAACTTTCATGACCCCTAGTAAGTCATGAGGCAGAATCACACGGTTGTGTGACTTCCATCCAGCCAGTTGGTCAATTCACACTATCTTGTTACCTGCATCCTCCCAGAGAATCATTACTGGGTCTTCTGTTTTAGGCCTGCCTTATGATGTTGTAAACTGTTAATAAAAGGCTTTGCCATGAAGGGATCTGTGTGAGAAGGTGCTGTTTT